GGCAAAATGAGGGTGGACATGTGGGTGAATTTGTTCAAAGTGTGCAAAAAGCAAAGAAAAAAGTGGGGATGAATCAAAAAATGGCTGTTGTGAGGGAAGGAAAGAGGACAGCTGGATGTTGCCATGAGGGTAAACATGCGGGAGGAACTGACTGGTGAGTAAAGATAGTGAAAAAAGATTGGTTGGTGGAATGGGAAAGGTGCTGAAGAAGGGATGTTTGAAAGAAGGTAGAAGAAGAAGGCAGGCGACTCCAAACTGAGGACAGAGTGCAACATTCTGTGGTGCTTTAAGGCAACTAAAATTGAAATCATTGCAAGACTGCAGTTCTGAAATGATTGGGGCTGAAAGGTAAGCACTCAGATGGGCTGTTTTGGAGTAGAAAGGAGATAGCAGGGGAGTGGGCTGAGAGGGTAGGAGGTAGAGGTGTTTTTGACAAAGCTAGAGGCCTAGGAAGGACGAAAAGTAGTAGAGGGGAAATAAGCACAGCTAGTGTCTCAGAATTGAGGAGCATTTAGGCAGCAGAACACAAACAAATGAGAAATTTGTTGAGATGGGAGCCATTATCATATTGTGCCAGGAAAAGCATATATCACACGAACTTTGAAAACTGTTTGTCTAGAGCCACACTTTAATAGTCTTCTGTACCATGCTGCTTTGTGTTATATTATTTCTCCTGAATTAGCCTGCAGGTCAATCAATAAAGTGAACATTGACATGGCTGTGTAACACCCCGACTTCAGGCTTGACTGAACTTTGATTCAGTGGCTACAGTCGTGCTCGCTGTTAGCAGATGGTTGCTTATGTCAGTGTGGAAAATTGGACATGGAGGTTACAGAACTGAACCAAGCTAAAATAATATTATATAACAAAAAGCAAACAATGCTCGGCAAGTGTTTTGAAAATAGTCATCCTATATCATATCATATAATTGTGTCTGTCAATACATGATCTGCAGTATGTTATATATGTTTTATGTTTCTACTGCAGCAGACATAACTACACTTTATGAATATGAATTGTAATGTTTTAATATTTTAATTTGTTTATATTTTAATACCTCATTAGAGTAGGGCACCAAGCTTGATTATGCTAGCCAAGCAGGCGATGGGTTTATTGATCTAAATTATTAATCTCGATCTGAAAGCATTGAATCCTGCAGTTCATGTACTGGAAATAAAAAAGACAAAGCATGACATGTTAAATAGCCAGTTTTATGTTGTAGTCCAAATAAATTTATTTACATTATGTACACAAAGGAAAAGGGAGTCGGAAGGTAATATGCTATGAAATGGAATAGAAGGTAAATTAAAGATAAATGAACTTGATGAACAGATGAATGAATTAATGAATGAATGAATGGCATAGTGTTAGCGATGCTGGAAAAATGAGTTACACTTGTCTAAAATTACACTAGGTTTACACTCCTACAAGGAGTTAGGATGTCGAGATTAGTAGGAAAATCTCTCCACGGTTGATTGAACTCAGACACCTTAAAACAATAGGCAGATCTAAACCATGCATTGAAATGCTTATAAATCTCCAGGAACATTTTACACACTTTGGATCATAGATCTCTGCCTTTCACGTTTAGATAAACATTTCCATTGTACAAAGAAAAGTTAAGGAAGAAGTATTTTTTGCAGTGACTGAGTTACATGTAAAAATCTCTGTAATAATCTCTAATCTACTGCTGCATTTGCTGCTTAAAGTGCCTTAGATTTTGATTTGATTTGATTTGATTTGATTTGATTTATTCTTTCAAGCATATAAAACAGTTGATATAACAACACACATTTTTACACACAATCCAATATCAATTTGCTTATACCTAGTACATGCTTGAATGGAGTAGGAAGAAGTCAGACTTATCCAGTCCTACCCCATGACATCATCTTACCATCATTGGTTTGCAAGCAATAAATGATTCACTTCTACACACACACATATTATACTAAAAAAGAATATAACAGTGTTAACATTCTTACATCACACAAGTGATATACTAAAGAATAGTTACAAAATATACACCACACCCACAATAGTCCATCATTGAGCCTGTTCTTGCCCATATCTGGATTGACACATACCTTTATATTTACGTTTAAACTCGTCAATTCTATTACAATTTTTTATGTCCACACTTAAATTATTCCATAGTTTTACCCCACTTATGAAAATACAAAATCTTTTTT